TATAAAATTAAATTTTGTAGTTAAATAATAAATTTGAAGTAATTGTATATAATTATTTTTTATAATTATAATATTAAAATTTTTGCTACCGATTGAATTTGCAAAAAAAATATATATATTACAACATCTTACCTTATATGTAATTGCTACTGATATATTATCGAAATAAATATTTTTTTAATTTTAAAATAATTTTATATTGATTTTTTTTATTTAAATAGAAAATTTTAATATTAACTTATTTGTTACGGCTTGAAATGCATAACAAATATGTATATGATAACATCTCGTCCAAAATGTGTAATTGTTACGAATAAATTACTGAAATAAATAAGTTTTTTTAAAATTTTAAAATAATTCTATATAGATTTTATATATATATATAGAAATTTTCAACATTTAGATATTTGTTACGGCTTGAATTGCGTAACAAATTTATATAGGACGACATCCCGTCGAAAATGTATTTATTACGGATAAATTATCGAAATAAATACAAAAAAAAGGTTGACCAACCATTAAACTTTTTATTCCGATAAATTTCGTAACAAAAGCCACTTTTTGTAGCAGACTTATTTTGACGGACAAAATACTCGCTACAAAAAATCAATTTTTTGGTAGTGAGAATTGTTGTGAGGAAAAATTATTAAAAATACTCACGAACATGGTAGTCTAATTCTCCATGGTTTTGAAGATGTTTTATAACTTTAAAGATGACCGGAACTTAATCCAAAGAAAAAGAAACTAGAGATCCAATTAGGGATGATATCAATTTGGAGGCACTTTTACTCTCAATTAAATTGGTTATCTGTTGGTATTATTGTTGTAATGTAACAATTGATTACGCATGTTTATGCAAGGTGAATTTAGTACTAACTGTTTTGAATGTTGTGATTTTAGTCCTTACAAATTTGGTGAAAGGTGGTAGTGAGCTAACTCTTAAATTGATATCCTTAAAGGTAGGTTTTTATAATTCAGTTTGATTATCAAACTTATCGCGTTATTCATTCCTTTGTGGTCAGTCGTGCAGTATTAGGCAAAGTGAATCAATTGGCCCACCAAAGAAAAAATAATAATACTAATTATTACTAAACTTAAAAATATATAATTAAGTCAATTTATTAATTTTATACTTATTTTACGAATAAATGACAGTTGCATGTTAGACAAGACTCACAATAATAAATAACAAAAATAAAAGTACTTAATTATCACTAAAATTACAAATCTATCCTCAAATCAATTTATTAGTTTTATATTTAGTTCATTTATTCATCTTCTTCCTATCCCACTGACACGGCCACACTTACATTACACTACTAACACCAATTCAAATATAAGTAAACGATAAATATGCTATAATCCCTCTTAATTATTTACATATATAACAACCTGTTAACCTGCTATATTTTTTTTTTCTCAGCAAAACATAACATAACTCAACAGTAACCTGTTAACATTCACCAAAAGGATCTCAAACCATATCAAAAACTACACAATCGACATACTATTTATAAAAACACCATACAACTTCTAAAACAGACGTAATATAGAACAATAGAAACAAAACAAGCTACGATCCTGCCCGCAGGTCATCATCTATGTACACGGTAACTCAAAATGCCTGTAAAAGCGCTACGGCTACTCCAGTCTGACCATCAAGTCATATATCATCAGGATTACCTACAATGTATAAACTGAGTTAGATTTATAAATCTCCGTAAGTAGAAATTATGCATGATGTGAAGTTTATCTCAAAATTCTCACTATGCAGAATGTGCTCTCGTTTGAAATCACCAATTTATTTATGAAATACTCTCCAAGGCCCCTAGACACACTGCTATACACCGGAAAGAGTTCAATATCCACATATTCAAATCAAACGATGGCCTACACCAGGTAGCCTACACAGGGTTTCTACGCAAGGTTTCCCTGGGTCGCTTCTTCCCAGGTCACCTCTTCCAAATGCATTGTTTATGCATTGTATGTAAAGTCACAATAGACGGTGGCCTACACCAGGTAGCCTACACCAGGTTTCCCCAGGTAGCTTCTCTCCAGGTCGCCTCTCCCGCCAACGGTGTATAATCCGCGGTCTAACATAATAAAACCATCTTATTCCACTTCAATGCATGATATGCATGCTTAATGAAAATGCAATGCAACATATTTCGAAATATACAGATATTATTGAACTCACTGGTTCAAACCACATCAATTTTGGAGCTCAAAGACTCCTTCAACATCAAATATAGAGTTCACAGGCTCAATCATATCACATACAGAGCTCACAGGCTGAAACCAATTTATATACGGAGCTCGCAGGCTCAAACCACATAATCACATAATATTAATCACATATTACAGTTTTCTGATATTCACATATTATCAATCAAACATAAATAACTCAAAAAATAATATATTTATGCATTGTAGTTGCAAATGAATTTCTACTTACCTGAAATTCGCCAAAAACGTCAATAACCCTAACTCTTAAAGCCCTTTTCACGATTCCAGTATCGTATCTAACAACAATTAATCAAAAATATTACCCAAATTTACTAAATAATTATTTTTACTCAAAACCTCCTTTACTTAGTAAAAATAACAATAATTCGTGAACACGGAAAAATACCTGAACTAGTCTTTTAACGAATTCGGCGTAATTTTTTTTTTCTTTTTCTTCGCGTATCCTTACCTTTCTCCCTCTCTTCGGCAATTGTTACGGAAGATGATTTGATTGAGGTGGGGGGTGGGGATTATTACCCCGCCCCACCGCCTTAATTTTATTTATTTATTTATTATTTTTATTTTATTTATTTAATTATTCTATTTATTTTACTTTTTATGTAACTACTATAATAAATTTTTAAGTGATCTATATTTAAGTTACATCACTAATATCCAAATAATTTACCCAACCTATTTGTATCATACTAGAATCTCAGATAAATTATGATAATATTTTCTTATTAATAAAAAGGTAAAACATATACCAAATTATAAACAATTTAACATTCAATAGTAAAATAAATAACCTAACATCACCAGTGACATATAAATAATATAAAGTGCACTCAAAACATGAATTATTCTGAACTGATTATAAATTAACATATACATAATATAAACAAAACATATAATTAAACAATTGATACTCAAGTAAACTAATGTATGCAACTCATGAAATATATTTAAACTACCATAAATTAACATATAAGTAATTTACCAGCATCTAAAATATGAAATATATATTGACCAATAAGTAGTGAGAAACTCGGGTATCATATCCTCCCTTTCTTATAAAAATTTCGTCCTCGAAATTTTACTTACCTGAAGAGTTCTGGGTACTTAGATCTCATTTCATCCTCTCTTCCCCAAGTAGCTTCTTCTAGTGATTGATTTCTCCATAGTACTTTGACTAATGAAATCTCTTTGTTTCTAAGTTGTTTCATTTCTCTCATTAGAATTTCTACTGGAACTTCTTCATAACTTAGAGTTGATTTTAGCTCTCTAGGTTCACTTTTCAAAACATGTGATGGATCTGCTATGTATTTTCTTAATTCTGATACATGAAACACATTGTGTATTTGAGACATGGATGTAGGCAAATCAAGTCTGTAGGCCACTTCACCAATTCTTTCAGTAATGGAGAATGGACCCACGTATCTTGGACTAAGCTTTTCTTTCTTTCTGAACCGCATTACCCCTTTCATTGGGGAAACTTTTAGAAATACCTGATCACCCACTTCAAACTCTAGCTTTCTTCTTCTTTTATCAGCATAACTCTTTTGTCGGCTTTGAGCAGCTTTCATTCTTTCCCGAATTTGCACTACAGTTTCACTCATTTCTCGAATCAAATCTGGACCCAAAATTTTTCGTTCCTCAACTTCATCCCAGTGTACTGGAGATCGACACTTTCTACCATACAGTGCTTCATATGGTGCCATTGCGATAGTAGACTGATAACTGTTATTGTAAGAAAACTCAATCAAAGGCAATAATTTGCTCCACTAACCTTGGAAATCTAACACACAAGCTCTGAACATATCTTCCAAAATTTGTATCGTTCTGTCTGACTGTCCATCTGTTTGTGGATGGTATGCAGTGCTGAAAGATAACAGAGTCCATAATGCTTTATGCAAACTCCTCCATAAATTAGATAAAAATCTGGAGTCTCTTTCTGAAATGATAGTGAGGGGTACACCGTGAAGTTTAACAATTTCTTGTATATATATCTGAGCATAACGGTCCATAGAATATGTAGTGTAGATCGGTAGAAAATGAGCTGATTTAGTCAATCTATCAACAATTACCCAGACTGCATCATAACCTTTGACTGTCTTGGGAAACCCTGTAACAAAATCCATGGTAATATTCTCCCATTTCCACTCTGGAATAAACAAGGGCTGTAAAGTTCTTGCTGGTCTCTAATGTTCTGCTTTGATCTGTTGACAAGTCAAACATTGTTCTACATATCGAGCAATGTCCCTTTTCATACCTGGCCACCAATAATGCAATTTCAAGTCCCTATACATTTTAGTGGCTCATTGATGTACAAAATAAGGTGTCAAATGTGCTTCAACTATCACATATTCACGAATTTTATCAGTATCTGGGATATATAACCAGTTTCTGTATCGGAGTACGTCATTCTCTGTCAACTGGAAATCAGAGGGTTCACCTAAAGTGATATCTTTCTTCACCTTAGCAGAATACTCGTCATGTTGTTGTCCTGTGTGAACTCGATCTAGCAATGTCGGTCTGAATGTTAAAGCTGCAAGTTTTGCTGTTACAAGTCCAGGTTCAATAAGTTCGATGTTCATCTTCTGTAGGTCAAGGAGTTCAGGTTTCTGATTTAAAGTCATAGCTGCTACTCTTTCTACTGATTTTCAACTCAATGCGTCTGCCACAACATTAGCTTTACCAGGATGATAGTTGATCACACAGTCATAATCTTTCACAAGTTCTAACCATTTTCGTTGTCTCATATTCAATTCTTTCTAGGTGAAGAAATATTTCAAACTCTTGTGATCGGTATAGATCTCGCAACATTCACCGTACAAGTAATGTCTCCAGATCTTGAGCGCAAACTCCACGGCTACTAACTTCAGATCATGTGTAGGGTATTTCTTTTCGTACTCTTTCAACTGTTGAGAGGCATAAGCGATCACTTTATCGTTCTGCATCAATACACACCCGAGACCATTCTTCGAAACATCACTGTAAACTTTAAAACCTCCAGTCCCGGTTGGGATTGCTAAGATAAGAGATGATGTCAATCGTCTCTTCAATTCTTGAAAGCTTTGTTCATATGATTCTGTCCATTTATATGTCACATTCTTCCTGGTCAATTGTGTCAAATAAGAAGCAATTTTAGAGAAGCCTTCCACAAATCTACGGTAATATCTTGCCAGTTCGAGAAAACTACGCACTTCTGATGGATTTGTAGGTTGTGGCCAGTTATTAATGGCTTCAAATTTGCTTGGGTCAACTGAATGTCCTACTCCCGATATCACATGTCCCAAGAATACAACTCGATCTAGCCAGAATTCGCATTTCTTGAACTTTGCATACAACTGTTTCTCTTTTAGAACTTCTAACACATTCTTCAGATGCATCGCATGCTCTTCTTCAGTTTTAGAACAATCAAGCATTGAGAAGATTGTATGATTTCAAAAATAAAAAATCTTTCAGTTGTATTTGTTTTTTTCTAAACAATTTGAGCAATTAGTAAGTGTTTATCGTTTGCGATTTTAAGCTTCAATTGAATATTTGAAATGGATTATGTTTCGAAGATTTGTTTTTCGTGATCATGATGAGAGTGAAAGATCAATGAATAAAGGTAAATTTTTAGAAATTTTACATATACTTTCGGTGTATAATTCTAATTACGAAAAAGTGGTTTTGAAAAATGCTCCTGAGAATTTTCAAGTGATTGATCCTTCAATTCAAGAGAATATAATTAGTGCTTGTGCAAAAGAGGCAACTAAAGAAATTATTGAGGAACTTAATGGTGGTTTTTTTTCAATTCTTGTTGATGGGTCTGCAGACATTGCTGATAAGGAGCAAATGACTCTTTGCTTGCGATATGTTAATAAAAGAGGATAAGTGCAAGAGAGATTTCTTGGTATTGTGCATGTCGGTAATACTACTTCTTTGATTCTAGATGATACAATAGAGTCATTTCTAATGAGACACTCTTTAAGTCTATTTAGTCTTCGAGGCCAAGGATATGATGGTGCTAGTAACATGCGATGGTCAATTAATGGTTTGTAAACTTTAATTTTGAAAGAATCTTCAATCTCCAGTTATGTTCAATGTTTTGTCCATTAACTTCAATTGACATTTGGTGTTACTTCTCAAAAGAATAGAGATGTTAGTTGACTATTTAATGATGTTCTTGTACATTTGTTGAATTTTATGAGGGGTTCACTCAAAAGAAAAGAATTTTTTTAATAAAAACAAGCTGAAATTGCTGCGCAAGCATTGTCTTTAGGGGAAATAGAATTAGTAAAAGGTTTAAAACAATAGCTTCAATAGCTTGTATTAAATAAACCTAGAGATACTCATTGGTGATCAAATTTTATAACAATTGTAAATGTAATTCATTTGTTTCCCCAGATTCTTGAATCACTTGATGCCATTGGAGATGTTTCTGACATGAAAGACAAGAATAAAGTTTAGTCACTTATGCACTTATGTTGTTTTTTGATTTTAGTTTTGGAGCGCACTTGATGTTGTCTATATTTGGAATTACCAATAAACTAAATTTGGCCTTGCAGAAAAAAAAAAAAAATATTGTAAATGCGATGTCCATGGTTGATGTAACTAAGAGAAATCTTCAAGATTTGAGAGAGAATGAATGATAAAATTTCATGGAAAAAGTTATATAATTTATGGTTAAGTATGAGGTGGATATTCTTGAATGAAGGAAAAATATGGTTTTATTTCGGATGATGTATTATCGTGGAAATAAGTCTTCAAAAGTAAAAAACTCCATCATTTTCAAGTTGAATTATTCTTTAATTTGATTGACCTACAATTTCAAGAACTTGAAAACCGATTCAATGAGGTAAGTAAAGAATTACTTATGTGTATGTCTTGCTTTCTTCTCTCTAACCGATTTTCTTCTTTTGATAAAAAAATATTGCAATGACTTGTAGAATTTTATCCTACAGAATTTTTAGAAGCAGAATTGATGGTTTTTGAATATTCATTGAGTAATTTCATTATTGATATTCAATGTGATAAAAGATTTGGGATATGAGGAATCTAAATGAATTTTCTATGAAACTTGTTGAGATAAAGAAGAATGAAACACATTCAAATGTCTACTTGCTATTGAAATTAGTGTTGCTTCTTTATAATAGTAACTGCAACCATAGAAAAATCATATCAATTATGACTATCATCAAGAACAAATTATGGAATAGCATGATAGATCAGTTATTAAATGATTATTTAGTTACTTTTCTAGAAAGATATATGTTTACGAAAGTTAATATAGATGCTATTTTCAATCGATACCAAAATATGAGATCTCATCGTGAACATTTGTAGCTATTTTTATGTATTAGTGATTGTTAATTTGAAGTTCCATAATTTTTAATGTAATTTTTTGTTGATGTACTTAATTATTTTTAATTTAAATTTAATAATACTAATTATCGATCAAACAAATTCAAAATTCTAGATCCACCACTATATGTTGTATCAGCATTCACTATACTAACATTGATTTGTTATTACAGTAAGTTTACTACATGTTAACAGTTGTGTTTTTTCACTTATGGTTCAAAACTCCGTTATACATTACTTGGAAGAGTTGCCTTTTCATTGATGGTTTGAGTGGATTTCAGAGGCGCATTATTTTTCAACATTTGGTATCAAGTCGGTGCTAACCTCCTAAGTAGATTAACTTGTGGTACAAAATGAGTAGAAAAGACAGTTCCACGACTCGGTCTTTCTTGTTCGATGGAAAAATTTATCTATACTAGAAGAGAAAAATGGTAGGTTTTTAATATGTCATAAGACAATGATGCTTGGGATGCTATCGAGTATGGATACTCCCCTCCTACAAAAATCATTCTAGGTGAAGGCATTGGTCTCCTAAACCGGTGATTTAGAATTCTTCTCAGACCTAAAGTGATCACCCTCAAAACATTCAAGATAATGTCGTAGAGAGTTCAAACTTGGCCGTCTTATTCTTCATGGTTTTGAAGATGTTCTAAATATGCCTAGGTGATAGAGATCAATTTGAAGAAGGATAACCAAAAATCTAATAAGATGTGATAATCAACTCGGAGACACTCTTACTCTCAGCTAAAGAGGTTATCTATTAGTGTTATTATTGCGATGTGACAACCAATTACCTATGCATGATTATGCAATGTGAGCTATAGGAGAGAGTAGTTCTACTGAATGTTTGTTGGTTACTTTAGTCCTTGGTGATAGTGGACTAATTCCTAAATTGATATATCTCAGAAGTAGGTTTATATAATCTAATTGAGTTATAAACTCATTGTGTCATTTATTGTTTTCTTGAATCTACACTCACTGCATTGAGTTGTTATTATTGCAAATTTACCACATATTAACAATTATACATAACCCTTATGTACATTACTCGGAGGACTTAGTCTCTTTATTGACGGCTCGAGTGGATTTCAAATATCCATTATTTTCTAACAATGTAGTTTTGTTTTTCATTTTAAATTTTGATATTTTTATGATAAAATAGTAATTTAAGGTAAATTTATATAGAAAATAAGTATAAAATATCATTATAAGAATATTATGTTATTTTTAAAATAAATAGTTATTTATATAATATTATATATAAAAATAGATGCCTAGTATAGATTTAAATGAAAAATATGTAGAATTTAAATTTAAAGAAGAAAAATAAAATAAGTAAACTACATGTGTTTGTGTTTTCATCGTGATTTCTATATCTAAGGCATCTGTGTACTCACTCGCTTATATATGCATATATATGTATATTTGCATACACGTATCATACATATAAATATATATAAATATTGTGTTCACCAAATCAACTTGAATAGCATATAAACTATTAATTTTAGTGCAAGATTGAGAAGAGTTACGGTGTTAAGTAGCAAGTAATTGATTAATTTTAATCCGTTGGATTATAAATTAATCTAAATATTATAATATTAATTAGGATAAAAATTATCATTTGATCTCTCTCCGTCGTAATTCAGTGTTGCTCTTGATTGTCCAAATCAAAATTTTAATTAATTGTTTATATCATTACTCTACTCATTTTCTTGATTTTCACTTTTCTATATTATGTTTTATATGATTATGTAGATTGATGAAGATGAAGATGAAGATGAAGATGTTTAGGATTTATGAATCAGATTTAAAACAACGGAAGAAGATTAGATTTGGACACACACAAAAAATTTAAGTAACATATATTTTATTATAAGAACAATTAACAAAGTTAAAACTAAAACAATTTTGAAGACAAAGAAGAACATAGTTAACATGTATTCAACACATTAATAAAATATATTGTGATTTTATATTCTGAATCTTTTTGATTTATTCGAACAATAGCTTGTACAAATATACGTCTGAATTAGCGAAAGCAAATAATCAAATAAACCAAAATCAATATAATACCGAATGAAATTAAAATAAACACATATTAAGACTGTTGATGTATTTTTTTCAACAATAAAAAAGTAAAATCCGAAAATAGGAAATTATCTTCGAATTTGATATATTTAGCGCCTAAGATTAGAAATCTCTAAACACTGTACGGTACATAAAATTAATTGGAAATTAAAATACTGGAAATCTAAATGATGATCCCCGAGACTCTTGAATTTGATGTCGTTTGAAGATGATTGAAGATTCTCCGTCAGTTGCAAGTCCCAATCCTTAAATACCCTTCCGAAACGGTATTGAAAACCGTCGCCCGAACGGTTACAACGCATTTTTTTCAACCTTCTGCTGACTCTTCTTCTGCTGACACGTGCCCTCAGCCGACCAAACTATTACTCTCACTCGCTCTCAACAATATCCGACTTCCATACCAACCGATCTGCCTATCCAACCACGAATCTGCCGACTTTTTGAACCGACTGCAGACCTTCCGCCTTTTTGGCCCGACCGCAGCTCTTCCGCCTTGTTAGTCCGACCGCAAACCTTCCGCCCTTTTTGGACCGACCGCAGACCTTCCGCCTTTTTGGCCCGATCGCAGCTCTTCCGCCTTGTTAGTCCGACCGCAAACCTTCCGTCCTTTTTGGACCGACCGCAGACCTTCCGCCTTGTTGGTCCGACCGCAAACCTTCAGACTTATTGGTCCAGCCGCAAACCTCCCGACTTATAAACCATCCGACTTACTGGTCCAGCCGCAAACCTTCCGACTTACATACCATCCGACTTGCTAGTCCAGCCGCAAACTTCCCGACTTACAGACCATCCGACTTGCTGGTCCAGCCGCAAACCTTCTGACTTATAGACCATCCGAACCGCAAACTATTTGACCCACCCGTGGACCTTCCTATCTGTGGACCTTTCGACCTGCGGACCTTCGAACTTGAGGACCTTCCGACCTGAGGACCTTCCGACCTGCTATTCC